GTGTGTGTGTGTGTGTGTGTGTGTGGTAATATAATCAGGCTGTGGCTTTAAACAGGATACGTTACTGTATGATAAAGTGCCGCAGGTGCCTCGGTGGCATGTTTGTGTGTGTGTGTATGCGACCAAAAGAGACAAATGTTTCACGGTATGTGAACAAAGACAATGTCGTGCATATGTTTGATTTCTTTGTGTGTGTGTGTGTGTGTGTGTGTGTGTGTGTGTGTGTGTGTCCTTAGTTCCGTGTTTTGGGAGGCGGCAGCACAGCGTCATGATGTAACGCAGCTTCGGTTCACCTGTACTTCATTTAAAAGAGAGCGTGAAATGAGGACAGGGGAAGCAAGACGGGGCAGCTTGGGCAAAGGTTCATTGAAACGAGTCGGCCAAATCAAAAACACAATGTGGACAGAAACTACAGATTGGCAGACTTCTGGATTTACTTGCCCTGTAGATTGGTTGACATTTAGTTCAAACCCCTATATGTAAATACACAAAGATAAAAATTAGGTACCACATATAAAACAGTGTTAAGTTAACACTGCACTGGTTTGTGAGTGTGAGATAATGGAATAGAAGGGACAGACGAGGCGAACGAGAGTAAAAAGTAAGACTGTACATGACGCTACATCAAGAGACATCGAGAAAACAAGACGTTGACAGAAATGGTGGCGATTACAGATCAACTGAGTAGATTCATACAGATGGCAAACCGTGAGAGAGGAACTAGGAGGCATGCGGAGAACGAATCTGCAGAGGACACGGAGCGAGAAAGACACAACTGAATGCAGATCAATGAGGTGAAATGAAGAGAGAGAGTGGGTGGATCAAGAATAAAGCGAGAGGCGGAAGGAGAGAGGAGAAACAGAGAGAGAGAGAGAAACAGGGGATGAGAGCAATTTCTGGCAGATTTTGGCTGGCGCTCAGTCCTCTTGCCGAGCAGCTGGACTTCATTAGTGGCTGGTGTTAATTACTGGGACTGTACACACTCGCATGCAGATACGTGTGCGCACACAGGCACACAGACACACACATACGCGCACACTCACACAGCCTGTGATTCAGGGTCACCTTGCTAGCCTTGTTTGAACCAACAGAGAGGGGGGGGGGGGGGGGGATGGTGCCAGACAGACTGAAAAACCGAAATGGAGAGCGCTCACACACAAGTGGCGGTCCACTGTGGGACTTTTATAAGTATCGATGGCATTTTGAGCAGCTGGTAGGTGGACAGATGAAACTATAGTTCAGTCAACGGATGTACAGAGTTGTTCCAGTATCGGAAACACCTCCGAATGTGCGATTCCATCCGCCGATCCAATGTCACGTCGTCATGTGACTTGTCAGCTGATTTGCGCTACACAGGAACAGTAACACGTCTCACTCTCTTCCCGATCCGTACATCATGCCTGATCGGCCCCGCGCATGTGCAGCGCTCAACTCACAACAGAAAGAAGCGAGGTGGCTCACTAGGTGCGTAGGAATCACGTCATTTTTAGGGAGTTAATCTTTTTTTTTCCCTATATATTTTGTGAGATATTTTGACATTATGACAGCTGACTCCCTGCTGTCCATGCGGACCAAACACATACCAACAAAGCAGTGTAGTGACTCCAACAACAGACTCTGAGATAACTAAAATCTGTAACAGCTAGTGTTTGCCGTGCAGTAATGCAACAGTAACTCACATGGCGGTGTATAGCATATACATAGGAACAGTGTAACTGTCTAAATGTTCAGTGCGATGCAACATTTCCAGCCCACATTGATGAGATTATCATTTTCTGGATCCTTGCGTCACCGTGATCTGGCGTTGAATACGCACATCGTGTGCTTGGCATACGCACTGTATATTTGGGAATGTTGCCAGTGGTGGTTCATTACTGATCAAGTGTTGTTTTTTTTTTGTCAGTCAAGGTTTTACAAGCTGCCGGGGTGAGAGAGGGGGGGAAAACAAGACTTGGAAGATAAGAAATTTTAAAAACAAATTGGCCAAAAAATAAAAAAAAAGCTTCAGTTTGATAGTCTTGGTAAATCCAAAAGAACATGATTCATCATGTTGAGTAGCAGTATGCTCCACCACTAGCTGTTGATTCACTAAAATCACGTTTCAGTCGGACCGTTAGCGCACAGTACCCGGAGAGGAAGCCAAGATGGTTTAAAGACGAGCGACGGCACAGCACGAGATAGGATGCAAAGCCATGCTGGGAGAGGTTGAAGGGTTTTCTTTGGCTCTTAATTACACGGCAGAAGACAGGAGAAGGCAGGAGTGCGAGCGAGGCGGAGAGAGAGGTTGAAACAACGGTATACACTGTCGCTCTTATCTTTCGTCTCTAAACAGATGTCGACCAGGCTGTTCTCTTTATTGCAGTACAAAGGCCTTCTGACAAAAACACACACACGCACGCATGTGCCATGCACACACATCCTCCTGGACAAATCAATGTATTCTGGTTTCAGTAATTTCCCAAGGTGCTTTGCTCTGCACCCCCCTTGGGTGAGCAAGGTGACAAAAGCCAGTGAGGGAGGAGAGAATCTCTTACTTTCTGCTCTCCTTTTTTTAATCTGTTTTCTCTTGTTTGCTTTCTTTCTTGCCTTTATTGCTTTCAGCTTACTTGTTCCCCAAACTGCATGTACATTTAGACAATATGCAATGTTCCACCACACTGATCGATCTACGTATACTGCAGGAGACTCTGTGAGCTATTTGCTTTTATCTTATTAGGTGTATGAGTGATCCATCAGTTCTTCTTTTAATCAACATCGTAACAGTATAATCAGCTGAAACCTTACAACTCATCCAGACCGTTCTATTACAATTCCACCCAGAACTTATTGACAAATCCACCGGCTGTGACAGGGCAGATATTCTTTCATCAGAATTCTTTCTCTTTATTATTAACACTGTACAGGATTGGTCCTGTATTGAGAGTTAACACTGTCGGGCCATTGCGCAGCGTCAGCGTAACGTTACGTCCACTAAAAGCGCTTGTTTTTGCCTGCAGAGACATTTTTCTTTCGCTCGATCTGCCGTGTTTGTTATTACATTCCACTCAAGGAGACGTGTCATTGTGAAATCTGAATATCTGGCAGCGACAGGTCCCACTCTTTACCCTCCTTATTCAAAGACCTCATCCACATTTTCGAAATCCTGTAAATATTCAGCCATGACTTTGAAAATCTTTTAACTTTGACGATTTTTAGAATCACAGAGGTAGACTCTAAACATTCTACAGCATTGTTGCATGAGCTCGAGTATACACAACCAGGCTGTAAAGGTGGACAAGTCGCAGTGCTGACGTATTTTATATTGTAAAACAAAGCCTTATGATCTCTTATTAATCTTAACCACAGACCATATTTCGGGCCTCTTACCAAAAACCCGTTCAAAAAGCTTCTCAACTTTGGGACATGGGAACCGGAAGTGCAAAAATACCAACTCATGTCCTGGCTGTATGACTTATTCCTGTAGCAGATATTTTAGAACAACAATCTGAACCTGTCGGTGGCAAAAACAAGCACTTTTAGTAATTCACGGTGCCAAACTGCCCCGGTATGATTACATTGCCGCCAGTGAGCAGCTGCTGTATGTAGCGCTGTCGCTCAATACTCAACCAACTTCAGAAATTGTTGTCACTATTAGTCATTTAGACAAAATACTGAAGTTACCCTTTTTGTTTTTTTTTTTCAACTGCGGATCTGGAACCAGGATCTTTTTTGGACCTTTTTAGAATCATTGTACATAATGCAATAATGAATCTCCAAAGGTGCGTACTTTGAACGCCAGCGATAGAAGCAGCAATACGGGCTTCAATCGCTGACAGCCTGTGCCCACATAATGTCCTACGCAGTGTAACAGCTCACCTGCAGCGCTCCGTCACATGGTGATGTGTTCTGTTTAAAGGCTTTGTAATGTGGTGCTATACTGCAGGTTTGTAGATTGGACACAGAGTGGGGCCGCGAACACAACGTGGGTCCCCCTCCACCCACAAGATAATGATAATTACAATCATTATGCTAATATTGTATTGTCGTGCGATTTGGTTTAGGTGGAATAAGTAATTTTCCGAACTTCGTCCACCTTTTTTCCTCCTGGTTACTTTACTCTGTTCTCCTTCTGTGACCTCCTCTACCTGCTCTCTCCTCCCCCACCTCCACCTCCTCATCTCCTGTCGTCTGTCCCTCCTCAGCCCTGCATCTCTCCTGGATGAGAGACACTCATTTGTGACGGAGCCAACCTGCTAATGGTGGATGGCAAGAAACAAAACTGGCCGTGCCAAATACACAAACACACACACAGACACACACAGACACACACACACACACACACACACAGTATTATTACATACCAACATGGACATCCATCTGGAAATACTCATACTGAGACATCCTCTGCAGCTACACACACACACACACACACACACACAGCAAAACATTCCCAGGTACAGGCACACACACGGACACACATCAGTGCATAGATACACAACACATTCACACTAATGTATTCACATAACACTCTGTGTGCTCCCCGCTGCATTGCTCCTGGTGCTGGGCTCCCTCTCTGCTCTGCGCCGCGCCTCCTTCGCCTCCTCCACTTCATCCT